GTTATCATTCAAGCATGTCTCTCAACCCCTCCCCATTTAAAAAACAAACAAACATATGCTCTATACAGCAATACAACAGCTTGAAGCATTTTAATTTATAGGAAAGGCTTGGGCGTCATAAATCTTGTACTGGATTGCATGCTGACCACTGGATAGTCTTCCAGTTAAGTTGGCATTTTGTGACTTGTCCTCGCCAGATAGTTTTTTAAGACTTTCCACCACATTTCGCAAAACTGCGACTGTATCACCAGATGCTCCTTTCTGCTAAGATAAAGTTCAGAAAAAGGAATATGTGAATTCTAGGGAGGTGGGGAAGGAGAAAAAAAATATCTAATACTATAGGGGGAAAGTAACCATTTTATTTGTTTGTTAGTAACTGGAAATTATGAGTAGTATGATTAAAGCTTATTTTGTAACTGATCGTGGAAGATAAACATTAACCAATAATAACAGAGCATTATTGAATTTTAACAGCACAGACATTGCATAGTGTTCCACACACTCACCCAAACACACACATACACAAAACATCTTCTGGAAACATTTCTAAGGAAAGAGATAAGCTGCCAAACTAAGGAAGAACCGAAAACTCTTGAAACAGAATCAGCACCAGTTCTAAAACATGGCATAACGTGACCCTTTGAATCTTGCAGCCCAGTGCTATTCCACCTCAAACAGATCTGGTTCTTTTTGAAGGAACACAAACTTCAGCCATTGTTCAGCCAGAAACCATAAGGAAGAAAATGGGCAAAACTACAAGTGCCCCTGTTGTGTCATGTTGAGGACTTTAAAAAGACTAGCAAATCTTTAGCGGCCATGTTCCTCGAGACATTTTCTAAAAGAGAATCAAATAGAACTGTATTATCCTAAGGTTTTCTTTTGCTTTCAAGCTTCTTACTGACCCCAGGGGTGCCTGAAGCAAGCTTACAACACATATTTCTGCATGTTTACTTGAAAGAATCAAGTTTCCTGGTAAACCTTTTTTTCTATCCAGATTTTTTTTTAAGAAGGTGAAACTCATAAATCTATGCCAGGGACGTTAGGATATCTGACTCTCTGGGCCATCCTAACCTACCAATATTGCAAAGGAATATAAAGACACTTTCTATCATATTTTTAATTGAAAAATCTGTTTTTTTAAAAAATGCAACTGAAGAAAGCCATCCTAGAAGGCTTTACTTCATGATTTTCATTCTATAAAATCACCAACATGCTTACGAACGCTCAGATGCTTCCCCACTTTGAAAAATAAATGAACACCTGAAAAAAACTTTTCAATGAAAGAAGTTAAACTGTACAAAAATCAGCTTCTCAGCTTTGCTGCCTTGAAATTGATTCATGTATCATTATATGCATGAAAAATTGCTCAAAAGAAGACTCCTTGCCTGCATAGCTTGACAAAGGAGCTGAGATTTTTTCCACAGACTTGCATGAAGCTATTCTACTCTGCTCAACCAAAATAAGCCATCTTTTTTTATTTTCCAAATGGAAAAGCTGATCAAACTGGAACGGGTAGCATTATAGACAGGATCATTTATCCATTTTAAAAGAAATCTCACTTGCTACTTTTCATGGTACTTTTCCAGAAAGCAAGGAAAGAGTTAATTTCCTATCTAGGACGATTCTGTTATATGTAAGCAAACAGCATCCTGAGAGTTAAGCCACAAGACATGTTACAAGATATTGGCGCCATACATTAGAGGGAATATAGCCGTAAGTTTGGTATGGGAATCTGGAAGACTGGTTTATAATGGTGAAAATAGGTAACCCATAAATTACCTAAATTTCATAGCCTAGTTTTCATTAAAATGACGCACATGAAAGTTGAAGACAACTTTTCCATAACTTTGTCCCACTGTTGTGCTACATTGTTTACTTTTTTGGTCTCTCACTCTCTATTTATATTAATTTCTGTTTGAAGTTTTTAAAATATTCATTAAGTTTCTTCGAAATGATTAAGTATTGCATGCACTCTGTGCTAAGGGGACAAGCAGTGAATAAGAAAGACAAATGAAGTGAAACAGATTATTTTTTTCTTGTACTCATCTGGAACAGTGCCATAAAAGTTAAAAAATAAAATAAAATTAAGCGGTTCTCAGTGAACTGAGCAGAACTTAACTTCAGGGACCCCTTCTCGCCTGAATATTTTGAACAATGGTTGCTATTATATGTCCTAAAGTCATTGAAAAGTAGCTAAACTTCTAATTATTACAAACTTCACTAGGCAATTTAGAAAATAACATCCTCCAAGGCTTAATATTGGATCTGTAATAATTAAGAAAGAAGCATTTGAGCCCTGTGGTCCTAGACATAACGGTGAAACAAATTCAATGCATGTGAAATGTCATAATTCTAAATAAAATATTTCAGGATGTCAACGATCATTTAAACACCTGAATAAACACCAATGATAACTCAGCTTAGGGCTTGGTTAGCTATATATGACAGGTGCTAGAAACATTTTAGCTAAAAAGTACATACATCAGCAAATCCCAAGGGCATGGCCTAAAATATCATTCCCACTTGGCTGGTTTTCCTTTTGATATTAGATCTAGTCAGGAATCTTTAAGTCTCCTGGCTTTTAAAGGTGAGGATGCATGTCAATATTCGCTGAAGCAAACAGGTTTAAATATGTTTAATTTTGATTGAATCAACTGGTTGGAATCTCTAATTTGAAATTCAAGCCATCCCAGGAGTAGAATGATTGGAAGAGCATTAAAATAAATAGCCAAAAAAAGAAACAAGATTTTCACCTATGTTAAGTGTTATCAGGAAAAAGGAAGATACTCTTTTTGAAGTAAAGTTTCAAACTAAAAAAAAAGAAAAATGCCAATAACAGTTCAATTTTAACAGTTCAAATGGAAACTTTTTAGGGGGATACATATGAAATTCTATAGCACCATATTTATTCAGAAGCTGTTAATGGACCTTTTATTCCAACCTTTGGGAATAACAAAGGGTCCCCAAAGAATTTATATAAAGCTGGTTCCAAGTGGGGATAGTATTTTTTTCTCCTTTTTTCCCCCCTTCTGTTTTAAATGACCTTCACTTTGTTTTATCTCATTTCTAAATCCAATTGGGTAAATTAATCCATCAATAAAATAAATTGGATACAGAAATCATAGGCACTTCCATGCATAATTTGTACATAAGATAAACTTTGCGTAGTTTCCCTATTGGACACTTTTTAATCAGCAACTTTGGACTACTAATAGGGAATTTTCCATTTTGGGTAAATATTCTGAGTACATAGAAGTATGAATGTCCATGTACAATAGCAGTCCAATTTATGTATAAGTTTTGCTTATTTTAGTTCTTTCAATTTTGAATAGAAACAGAAGACAAGATGAGAGGATCATTAGTTTCAAAGCTGTAACTATTTAATATTATTGGCTTCTTTGTAAGAGCGCTTGGGAGACAAGATGTTAACTACTTTCTGGAAAAAATAGTGTATAAACAGAAACACAACAATTAACAACACTCACTTTTTTCTCACAATAAATCTTTAAATAGTGTCTGTGGCAATTTAGGATAATTAAAGTCTGTGCTTAAGTATGGAAAGTCACCTGTAATCTTACAATGTTGACATTTTTGATCGTGCAATCCTTTGGTTGCATCAGTTTACCAACACAATCTTTACCCCTTTAACACAAAAGTTCTACTTGAGCCCACGGTTCACTCCCAAGAAACTGGATCCAGAAGAAAAAAAATCTTGCACAAGTACTCATATACACTATTAAAGCAAGAACTCTGTTAAGGATTTATTTTAGACAGGACACATCAACTTGTGATGAAAAAGTTAGACTATGGAGTGCTTTCACACAAGAAGCCCAGAAAGTGCATGGAGATTCTCCATCATCCAGGTCATGGTTGTCCCAAGGGTGCTTTTTCAAGAGGCAACTGGACTTTCTTGAGTTTTGTTTTGTTTTGGTTTTTTTTTAAAACTGTTTCTCTTCTCATCCAAGAAGCTCCTTCAGCTCTTCTTCAGCTTCGAAGAAGCTTCTTGGATGAGAAGCGAAAAGTCTTCAAAGAAAAACAAGAAAGTCTCTTGAAAAAGCACCTTTGGGAAGAAGCTCAGAAGAGCAATTCTCTTGCAACCTTAAGAAAACAAAGGAAAATCGGTTTACTCTAGAACTCCCAAAGAGAATTAAGGCATCCCTGAGCGTCAGGTCTATTCTGGTACAACTCAAGCCGAGTTTGAGTTTTGAAATGTTACACGTACCAGTGACAATGACCAAAGCAGGACGTAATGGTCCCTGGAAGCAATTTAAACACAGCTTCAGTGCTGCTTTCTGGGTGTCTCTAACTATCCGTGGGTGGTCAATTCGCCACTACGGAACAACCCAGAAAGTTGTTCGACATCCGTGCAAGTGAACTCCGATAATATCGCTAGCATCTGCTTAGACAGCGTCCTACGAGCATGCCTGCAAAAACCCAGCCTATCACCCCCTGCAATTACTTGGCGTGCATAAACGAGTGGCTTCTCCACCAGTTCAGCAGGAGACCGTGCGACTCTTCTCCAGCGCCAAAAATAAAAAAAAATAAATAAAAAGACACCGAAGTTCGGTCCCCAACGAGACTAACGACACGGTCGGACCGAAAGGACGCCTTCTGAAGCGCTCTCTAATCCCAGGAGGATGAGGAGGAGGAGGAGGGGGAGGAAGAAGAAGAAGAAGAAGAAGAAGAAGAAGAAGAAGAAGAAGAAGAAGAAGAAGAAGAAGAAGAAGAAGAAGAAGAAGAAGAAGAAGAAGAAGAGAGTCAAGCTGCTTCTTTGCGCAGTTGACTCAAAAGTCAAGGCGAAGGGAAGGAACCGGCGGGCAGGTGGAGGGGGCGCGCTTCCCATAGCTGAGCAAAGTAGGGCAAGGTAGGGCAGGGCAAAGCAAAGCTGGGGGGGGGGCTGGAGAGGAGGAAAGGGGCTGCCACGACGTTGAGCTTTCCTTGGCCGGCCAGGGGCGCTTCTCCAGCCGGGCAACACTCGCTCGCTCGCTCGGGTAGCCTACCTGTGCGCGGCGCCTTCACCTGTTGCCCGTCCGCCTCCATCCGCGAAGGGCAGCGGCTCCCCCTTGACTTCGCGCAGCACCAGCGCCTTCTCCTCCGGGCGGGGGAACTCAGCGAAGTCCCCCCCGCTGCTTCCTCCTCCTCCTCGTCCTCCTCCACCGCCGGGTCCTTCGTCCAGCGCCTCGACGTAGAAGATGGTGCGAGGGGCCGGCGGGGGGCCTTGCGGCTCGGCCAGCCCATGGAGCCGGGTGGCCGGGAGCGACGTCCCGTTGAGGGGCAGGGAAGAGACGGGGCAGGCGGCGGCCGAGGACGGCGAGGGCGAGGCGGCGGCGGCGGAGGAGGAGGGCGAGGAGGACGAGGCTTTCTTCCAGAAGGCGCCTCCGCCGCCTCCGCCGCCGCCTCGCTCCTGGCTCTTCAGCAGCCGGCTCTGGCTCGGGCCCCAGTGCTCGAAGCTGCCGTCCGGTTGCAAGCAGCCGCCCGCGGGCGCCGCCGGGTGACTGAACAGTTTCCAGCGGAGGCGCAAGATGTGCTTCACGTCAAAGTCCTTCCTGCTCGAGTTCGACATCCTGCGGCGGAGGCGGAGGCAGGCGCGGCTTCGCCGGCTCGCCCGGAGCTTGCAAGGCAAGCGGCGGCGGGCAGGCAGGGGGGTGAGGAGGGCGGACTGAGCTGCTGGCGTTGCTCCGGCGAGCCCGGAGGGGGACAAGGCGACCTGCCGGCCAGGGCCTCCTCCTCCTCCTCCACAGCGCCGGAGAGTCGGCAGCGCCCGAGGCGCAGGAAGCAACCGGGCTGTCGCCGAGTGACTGAAAGGGGAGGGAAAGCACGCTACGCCAAGTAGTAACCCCCTCCTCCTCCTCCTCCTCCTCGCCCCCCACCACCCCCACCCACTCGGCTCAGCAACAACGGCGGCTGCACATGGAGCGCCCCGGATTTTGCGCTCCGACAGGGAGGAGGAGCGGAGGAACCGCACGGAAAGTTGCCGGGCTTTTAAGCTCTGGGTTAGTAGCTGGGGAAGACGGGGAGGGGAGAGGGAGGGAGGGCGAGCGAGGGTCTTCTCTGAGCAAAGGGGTGAGGGAGGATGCTAGAGCTCCCTGGCGCCCCCAACCGGGCTGGCTTCTCCGACGTCGGTTCTGCTTTCTTCCCAAGCGCTGTCCAGCACCGAGCCGGCTCTCTTGCGAGCATCCTTGGAAGAGACGTCTAACTCGGGGGGGGGAGGGCTCTTTTCGAGCAGCGTTCAGCCTCATTAGGATCCCCATTGCCTGTCCCAGTTTCCCTCGGGTTTTTCCCCAGCCCCCCCCTCCCCCGGTTGCAAAAAGTCAGCCCGGAGAGACCCACCCAAGCGGGATCCCTCCAAGAGCACCGAAGCCTGTTTTTCCTGACCTGAGTCTGAATCAAGATCTTGAAAACCCGGTGAGCCTGAGTTTATTTCTCATCTTCCTTCCTTCCTTCCTTCCTTCCTTCCTTCCTTCCTTCCTTCCTTCCTTCCTTCCTTCCTTCCTTCCTTCCTTCCTTCCTTCCTTCCCCACAGTGACCGCTCTTCACCCGAATGAATTCTGAACCAGCTTTTGATCTGGTTGACTCCAGCCAGCATTGTTAGGCTGCCCAGCGCTTCCTGGACTAATTTGCCAGGATCTTCCAAGACAAAATCTTCTTCAGAACTCTTTAAATCCTAAAGCTGCTTCCTGAAATGGATGTTGTGAGTTAGACTGGTTCAAACCTGACTCTTCAGCTGGGGAACCTTTTGTCCACCCAAACTCACCCCGTGAGTTAATGAAGCCTCCAAAGTTTTGCCCATGAAGAATCATGCTAACTTTCTCTTCTTTTCCACCATCCCATTTTGATCCAATGCTGTTTAAACATGAATCAAAAATGAAACTAAGTTCCGCAGTAATTTTAAGAGAACTCACCATGGTGCGAACTGTAGAGCTATTATCCCATCTCATGTAGAGATAAGGTTGTGATGTGTCTGCTAACTGAAACCTTATCTGTTTGGGATTTACCTCCACATGAATATTTGTCAGGTCACCCAGAAACTGGACCCAAGCTTTATTTCAGGAATAGTAAATCTATCAAAACCTGAGAATTCACCCAAGCTTTATTTCAGGAATAGTAAATCTATCAAAACCTGAGAATTCACTGCTGCAATTCTTTAATTGCAGCAGTAGCCTTGACTGGCACCTTCAAGCAGTGTTTTGTATAGTGCTAATCCCAAAATCAAGGAGTTTGGACAAGGAAAACCTCCATAGACCCCCAGAATTACAGGTTGCACTAAGAAGTTGAGGCAACATCAATGGTAAACCAAGAAGACTACAGTCTGTGGGTATGTTGATGCACAAGAACTAGATTAAACTTGAAAAAAACTTTCATCATTTCTCTGGAGATCCCACTTTCCCAACTAATAGAAAAGTGTGCTTGGATTCAAGGTGGAACTCCAGTTTCAAGGGTTTGGAGGATTCATCCATGTTGTCATCTGGTGACTATCCAGGAGCCAAGGGGTTCTTTAGGAATTAGAGATTCAAACCAGGTGAGATTCTTAAAAAAGAACTTTAATTGAATAGATATTGGGACTTACAGAAAAAAAGAAAGATCAACCAATGCAGATCCTTCAGTTTGCTTGGAAACTCAGGAATGGCAGCAGATGGAAACTTGGTAGCCAGCATTTCCCCAGCATTCCCCTAGCACCTTAGGAGTCTACACCAAAGTTCAAACTCTGTGGGATTTGGCAGCCCCTTGTACTAAGAAGAGTAGTATAAATATCCCAAGCATAATTTTAGTGAAGGCAAAGTCTTCTGCAGGCAGGCAGCTGAGATGGTCTGATGACATAGCTGGACAACAATTTTGGAACCTAGAAAAATAACGCTTTGCTAAGAATAAGTTTATGGGGGCAGTGTTGCAGAATACAGCCATTACTCCTACTCCCCTTAGCTGCTGTTAAATTGGGGAACTGATGTTTGTCTTAATTGTTACAAGGAGAAATACAGACAGGAGGCTTTCAAGCAAGAATGATTAACAACACAATGGTGCAGCCCACAAAGCTTGCTGAATATTCGCTAAGTGCACACATGGGGAAACATGCCATATAAGCTTGCTAGGTTATCTTGTATCAGCTGGATACTTCAGTACAGCCATCTCTTATATATGCAAAGGAAAAGCAAGTTTGTGGATGCCACTTGTTCCTCACCAAGTGTCCACGGGGCCAGGACATTGCTTTTAACTCCTCAAAACCTCTGCTCATGTTTCAGTTTCTTTTTGGTATGCTGCAACTAAGCAAAAACTAAGCTGCGGTAGTGATTCCCTCTTCCCCAAAAGTAATTCACCATTGGCAAAAAAAACCAACAACAACAACCATAAGCAACTCTATCAATCATATTCAAACAACCTGGATCTGGGAACAGATTGCCCAAATTATTAAGCAGTTTTATGTTTCCAACTGGGAAAATATGAAGTGCTTTACATTGGAAATGCAGAGCAAGCTTAGGACTGCCCTTCCACTATGCAATAGAGAATATGATATCCAATCCCAATGTTGTCAGTGGCCTAGGGATATTTATCTACCTGGTGGGTGAGAGGAGGGCAAAGATTGTATTGTGCAACTGGGATGTTATTACGGGAGGAATGGCTTTGTGGTTAGATGCTAGGAGACAACTGGTGGAACCGTATTACACTGCATTAGTTTCTAGCTCATAAATCATCATCTGAAATGCATGCATGACTAGAGGCGATAAAATGATAAACAGAGTAACAGCAAACCAGTTTTCTTACTGTGTTTAAAGGTGGAGAACATTTCTCCCCTTTTAGATGAATAAATGAATGAATGAATGAATGAATATATTGATACAGTAACTATAAAGACGTTTCATTCTTCTTCTAAAATGCAGCTCAATTAAACACCATTATAAGTTGCAGGCAATGCAAATGACAGAAAGTACAAAATAGGTTTCCTAATTCAGAGTGGGATATTTTTGGCCCATTCCTAAAAATAAATAAATGAATAAAAATCCCATCATATACAGAAATAAAACTGATTAATAGTTCCAGTTCTGTTTGATTTAACAGCAAGCTAAATGAAGTCAGTTAGAAGCTTGAGTTGGCTTGTTTTTTTTTTTTGTTGTTGTTGTTGTGGTTGGTTTCTAGAAAGGCTATATGTATTTTAGCATAACAAAAATTCAGGTCATTCCCAATTCACAGGAGGAAAAAACTACCTTTTCCCCATTTTAAATGTTAGTTTATGCCAACAGCTGATCAATAATTCTCCATCCTCAAATTTTTCAAGGCAATGCATAACCAAAGGTACTTAGAAATTAATACTTTTTTTTCAATTGGTTTCATCCAAGACTTCAGTCAGCTGTTAAGGACAAATATATAACGCCTATTAAAATGAATGACAGCTATAAAGAGTGATAGCATCCCATTTCATTTGAAGGGCAGAAGTGAGGAAAGCTGTTGATTTAGAAAACTAAAAAGTCTCAGAAAAAAATGCAGTGCAAAAATATTTCTATACCGTTGCTAAGACCACAAAAGTATGTTTGTATTCTCACCAAGAATCAATTTAACTATTGCCACCACCATTAACCTAAATATATTTTTTTCCTTTAGTGGAAGGTTTAAATTGTGAGCACTAACATAGGATATCAGCTAAAAGTGTAGAATGAAAAATGCATTCAATGTCAGCTGTAGAATTAATATTGTGCAACAAAAAATTCTGGACAGAACAGAAATAATGTTTTGTTGCCAGTTATAATTTATAAATTGGGGAAAATTCAATAAACTCTCTTCATACGACAGTGAAAATACAATAATATGTTAGAAAGAATTCACTTTTCTATTTTAAATCTTCCACAGCCGTCCTACTTTATGTACATACAGAAGTAAGTAACCACAAGTTCAAAAGCTAGTACTACTGAGAAAATGTATATAGGAATGCAGTATTAAATCAAATGCTACTAGTCCTAATAGTTACAGATCTACTGTTGGGCTGTTCCCAGTGACAGCTCTAAGAATAAATAGCACTCACAGGTACTCAAAACATTGCAGTGGTATAACATTTGAATGTGATGCTATTTTATATAAATAAAGAATTGCAATCTTACAAGAGCTGCAGCATTTGTGTTGGTGATCTGGGATCGTCTTAATAGACATCTGCCAAAATAAAAATGGTAAAATAACATGAATGAGCAACATAACACGATGACATAATGCTGTGCTCTTTTCAAAATATGAAGAGGTTAAAGTAAAAGATTCCCAGTCCCGTCATGTCTGACTCTAGGGCCTGGTGCAGTGGTGGCGAACCTATGGCAAGGGTGCCAGAGGCGGTACTCGGAGCCCTCTCTGTGGGCACACGTGCCATTGCCCCAGCCTTGCCTCTCCCTGTGACCCCCTCTTCTCCAGCAGCCCCCCTGAAGGAAAGTCAACCCTGAGCTTGGCCCACCCAGAGCAGCGCAGCCAAGGACATGGTAGCCAGGCAGCGTAGACAAGATTTTGACCTCACACCCCATTATGCAGTTGATGCTGCAGGGCGCGGGCAGAGGGCGTGACCGCCATAGTGCTGCTGGGCTGCCTGGGTGATCTGCGGCAGGCCTTGGAGGCGGTGAGTGGCCCTGCAGGCAGGCGGGGCGGGGGATGGGGGGAGCAGGGGCGAGGCAGGGGGTTGGAGTGGGGGTGGGGCCAGTTTTGGGGCATTCAGTCTCTAAAAGGTTTGCCATCACTGGCCTGTGCTTATCTCCATTTCTTAACTGAGGGAGCCAACATTGTCCAAAGACATTTTCCGTGATCATGTGGTCAATGCTGTTACCTTCCCAAGTGGTACCTATTAATCTACTCACATTTTCAAGCT